AAGTTTAATAAATTGAAAAAGGGGTTGGAAATCTACCGGCTGAAGAAATTAAAGTTATAACCTATTTGATTAAATTTAAAATTGAAGAGGCTGAGCTCCTCAGAGACTTAATGAGAATAAAAGTAAAGGAAATGATTGAAGAGGAAGGGGATGGTTAAAGGAGAGAAAGTAGTATTAAATTCGGTTTATAAAAACCTAAAATTTGATGTATGAGTGTGCTACTAAGTTGTTGACCAAGAGAAGGTGAGCAATGGTTGATTAGAATTTTTTGTAATAGTGGAAATTATGAAGTTTGATAAATTGTTAGATAATGTTTGAATAGTTACTAAATTTAAAACTAATGAGTATATGTTTAATATATGAGTTGACCAAGAAATAATGAAAGAGAAAAGAATGGACAGGAATGTGATGTAGATGTGAAGAGTGGAGAAAATGGTGAAATATTGTAGTATGATAGACCTGAATGTTTCAGAAGTTAACAATAGGGTCGAAAATTTATGAAGGGAAGTTGCGACGATAGTGTAGAGAATGGTTATTTGAAGAAAAACAATTATTGTATAGGATTAAAGGTGTTGACGTTTGTATAGAAAAGTCAGGCAGAGAAAGTGGGGCAATATTGTGAAGTGTGGACTATAAGAAGAGCTGTCGATGTAAAGGTTGAAAGTCACGGTTAAAAGATACATGGCGATTAACGCAATTGGGGCTACTTTGCTTTTCTTTGACTATTTCCAAGTCTTCATATAGATCTAATTTTAGAAACATTTTTTGAGGGATATTATGTAACAAAGATACGTCTTCTGGGATGTTAAGGGTATGTTTATGTTGTGCAAGACATTTTGAGAAGGTGGAAGTATTCTCTTTTTTAGTGTGTTCTAAGGAACGGAAAGTTAGTGATCTACAGGTTCTACCTATATATGTAGCATCACAATCAGAGCACTGTAATTTATAAACACGACTACGATCCATATAGTTGATGTGATCTTTTGTATTGGTTAAACATTGTCTTACATTGTTCGGGACTTTAAAAGAAATGTGGGTATTCTCAACAGATCTATCTTTTAGCATATATCTAATATCTCCAGAAAGACGTTCTTGAAGGTATGGTAAAGAAGCATAATGAGGTTTGATGGTCAGGTTAATTTTAAGGGTGTTTAAATAAATATACCCATTTACGAAGATTAACTAACCTCTTTTTTGTTGAATTGTTTTTCTTGTGGATTTTATAAATATTTCGGTTTTGCCCAGTACAGGAATCACTGAATATGTTTATTTCCTTAACTTCTTTCGGTAAACTTAGTAACATCTTCCGTACACATGAAGATATCTCTTATCCGCCACGTTGTGCTATCGTCTCATCCCCATAAAGCAAGTAGCATCATAACAGAAAAAAAAAACAAATTATAAGTCCATAAGGACCTTTTCTAGAAGGACACGTTATTTTGCAATGATGGTGTTGGCAGACATTTTTCCAAATCAAACGTAATAAAAGCATATTGAGAATCATCTAGACTTTTTAGTTTGTCATTTCTCTTTACATCTTAAGAAGATTCTGCTGGGCCTAAGTGTTCTTTGTGAAGAGCAGATGCATTAGATTTTTCTTCGACATTGCTTGTACTGGACAATCTTGTACTGGTCACACTTTGCACATTTGTCGTTTTTAGGCATACGAAATGCTAAATTGAATTTTTCTACAAAATTTTTTCTGTAAACACATTCTTTAACTATATCAGAAATTTCATTTTCTTCGCAGTAAAGCTTGTATAACCTGTATATTTTGGAGATATTTAAGTCTAATCGTAAATATTTCTTTTCTGTTCTGTTACGAGAGTGATGACTTTCAGATGCTACAAACATCTGAATATGAGCTTTTACCTACTTTTCAGTATCAGAAGATGTTTTCAATTAGTGTCCATGCTTTCTTTTTTCATCTGGAGCACATACAACTGATTGCCGTTTTTTACGATAATAGTTCTAATTTTCATATGTGTGACTGACAATGTATTCATAAACATTGTTTGACATACTTCTATTCTCTCCTAGGGATAGTATAGAGATAGTAGAGTATCCTCTTTTTGTAGAAAATATTTGCGAGTAAATTGTCGACGACTTCTTAAATTATCTGTCCTTATTCGTTTAGTTTTTTTTGGCATCTCTTCCATAATATGGTCACACAAATATTGACTCTGACTTTCAACTCATGTCTTATAAAAATTTGTAAATAATATTTCACGATAATTTTCTGAAAATTTTTCGTTACATTTCTTTTTACATGTTTCTTTACAAGATGGCTGTAGACGTTTGGCCGGTACATTCTTTCCTACGATATTAACGAATTCTATGCTCTCAGCTCTTTTTCTAATATTTCTTATTAAAGTTTTTTCACTCCTGACACGTTTCTGATTTACGTCCTTTTGATTTCCCCTACACTTTATTGTCACACTGTTCGTTATTCAAGGTTGCCTGGTGTTAAATGCTTGTAAGTCACTAGTTTCAGGAATATACTCATCAGAAGATAAAAATAACATATTAACATAAAGGCCAAAGCTGATTTTGTCTGAAGTAATATTTCCAGAAGTTGAAGTACTTGACCCCTCTTCATTTTCAGGATCACATCCACTTTGTTTGATTTGAAAGCCTTCGTTTAACTGGCTTGCTGACATAAAACACATACTCAACAATTTTCCTCAAATTTACAATATAGTATCAACAATGTAATCCTATACTATAAGAGTGCCAGTGCCAAGAAGATAAAAAAAATAGTAAGATTAATGCAATTAGGCAATCATAGCATATCATTTGTGAATATTCTTTTATATATAAACTTAAATAATAATAACTATTATTGTGATAAAAATAGTGCCACTTCTAAATTTGTTTTGGAAAGTCTAAGATGACCCAATAAGTGATTGCATGATAGTAAGTATCAAATGTGAGGTTAAGTTAAAATATTCTTTAATTAGGTAAAGAAATAATAAATCAGACTTACTCACAATCAATTGATTGTGAGTAAGTCTGATTTATTATTTCTTTACCTATTTGAAATGGACTCACACAAGCAACAAATTCATGATTATTCTTTAATTATTTACTCATTTATCTTCTTAAAATATTCCCTGCTTTAACAGATAATTAATTTTGTACTAATTATAATTATATCACACCTTGAAAACCATATGGCAATATCTGCAATTTTTTCGTGAAATGACCTTTGAATGCAGTCTAATAGAAAAAAAAATCTATATTTTAATGCTATATAGCAGCATCTACAACGAATTTTAAATTCGGCACTAGAAAGATACGTCCTTATGGCTTTTGTAAAAAAACCATTTTTCTTTTTATACCATCAGGCATTATCTGCAGTTGTTGCACTATGGTTCTAAAATAGGAACCAAAACTCGGATCTATCTGGCAATATCAGCAGTTAATGCCAAATAAATGCTACATTGCCTGTGACTACGTTTATCTGTTGTTTTCATGTTGTGAGTAAACAATCGTGTTTAATTTAGTTAAACGTAGTAAGAAGCAATTCAAGAACCATGAACCATGGAAGATTGAATTTTCTACAATCTTGTAGGTTATTTTTCGTGTAATAAATGATGTTGGATTAACCCTTTGTGGACAGACTGTACATAAAAGTACCATAATGTTGTCAGGTCACATTTATAAAAGTGTCTACATTTCACTGACAAAAATCACTAGAATTTCACTAGATTAATAACATAATAAATGTTATATTTTCGCAATATTTTCAATTCAAAAGTTAAAGCCCTTAACGCAAATACCAATATAATATAACAATAACAATAATTATTATGCAGAAGGAATTATTCCAAACAACCATAATTCAAATTTTATTTAATAAAATAAAGAACGGGACCAAAGTGCTCACGTTATCTATTTGAAACAATTATTATATAATATTAAATAAAATTACATAAAATTTTGCGAAGAAAAATGTTCGGTGTTCGGAAATTACGCTACGTTTGGGACCATATTTAACACGGACTTTAATATAAGCTCCTTTAAGCCCAAAAAAGACTTCTGCTCGCTATGTGAAAATTACAAAAATTCATTAGATAAATCTACATTAGAAGCAGCCTATAATACTCACCGTCAAGGAGTGGAACTTAGTAGAAAAGAAAAAGAAAATGATTCAAAATCTGCAAAATCCAACACTTGCATTACTGTCTGTTTTGACTTACAAGCCGTACTACCGACACTTTCAGGCGATATCCCCTTATTTAATTATAAAAGGAGATTATCAACATTTAATTTTACAATTTTTGACCTGACCACAAATGCAGGACACTGCTGTTTATTCGAAAGAAAATGCAAAAAAGTATTTTTGAAGTGTGTATATTTTAGGCAATTCCTAGCTGAGCGCTTTCGGCTTTACAAAGCCATCATCAGAGCTATGGTCAATTTTTAAATACCACTACAAAGGAGAGATCTCATTTCCTTAAGTAAAGTGTAACTTCCTTGTAAAGCCGAAAGCGCTCAGCTAGGAATTGCCTAAAATATACACACTTCAAAAATACTTTTTTGCATTTTCTTTCGACTTGTCATAAGTGTGTACAAAAAATATCAGTCTTTTGACTGCTGTTTATGTTTCGAGGGAATTGTTAATCGTGGTCTTACAAATAGCGTCGTGCCTGCTATCATTTCTGAGGAACCATGCCAGAGAACAGGAAATGATATATTCAGATAACTGCAGTGGGTAAAATAAGAATAAGTATATTGTCTGTCTTTATCTCTATGCAATACAGAAATTGAACATACCTAAAATTACCCACAAATTTTTGATAACGGGTCACTTCCAAAATGATAGAGAGACATGCATTCTTTGATTGAGAAACAAAAAAAAGGCGTTAGGAAGAACAATTTATGTGCCTTGTCAATGTGCCACAGTAGTTCAAATAGCGAAAAAATCAGGCGAACCTTACAAAATGAATGAAATGCCTAAATCGGATATAATCTAATTTAAAAAATTATGTAAGGAAATGGGAAACAATTATAGCGTTGACGAAGAAGGAAATCAGGTTGTCTGGAATGAGTTTGAGATGATCAAGGTGAAGAAGACACTTGAAAATAAGTTTCAGGTTAAAACAAGCTACCACGATACAGAGGTCAGAAATAGTAATATAAGGAGAAGACAACGAGGGTTGGTGTCTAATACGAAACTAAGTAAATCATATTCGAAACCACCAGGAATATCCACTCGAAAAAAAAACAAGATCTGCTCTCACTATCTAAGGCTAATGTTATTCAAGAGCACTACCATAGGTTTTATGCAGATTTACATGTAAAGAATGGAACAGTAGAAACCAAACAAACAGATTACAATATGCATGACTTTGATTAAGTGTTTAAACCAAAAATGTTTAATAAATAAGTGCAATCTTAAATAAAAAAACTTTTATTCGATATGAATTTTACTGTATCATTTTCCAAAATTAATATATTTTTTAAAACCATATGGCCGTATGTGCTAAAATACCTATTTCCTGAAGAGCATTTCACATACTCCTTACTGCATACAAAAATATGCAAAATTAAAGACAATTATGCTTAATACCAGGTTTGCAGCTTAATTTTTGAAATTACAGTAAATAATATTAACTTTAAAAAAAATTAAAACGCTCATAACTCAACATTATGATTTTTGCAGTTACTGCCATATGGTTTTCAAGGTGCGATATAAACTAATTATAAATTTGTATCTTTGATTCATGGTCACTTACAAAAAGCAAATAAAAACCAACTGCACTATTACAATTAACTTTTTTAGGACAGTAAGAATTCAATACTAAACTCTGTGTTCTAATAAAGTTTATAACCTCTCTTTTGAAGTCTGTTAGTTCAAAAACAGTTCGAATCCTCGAAATTAAATTCATGTTTTAAACTTAATGCATGTTCTGCCAACGCGCATGCGTTAATTTTTTTGGGTTTTATGTCGCTGCGATGTGAGATCACCCTACTGTGAAAATTACGAGATGATTCACCAATATACCCGTTTTTACGATTAGCACACGGTATAGAATGAACAACATTCGATGATTCCTGTATTGTGAAAGGATCCTTTGTCTTTGTGTACAACTTCGATACCGTTTTGACATTCTTAGTTGCAATTTTTAAGTCACTAACATTTTTGAAAATGTTCATTAGCTTAGGTGTTAGGACTTGAATATAGGGTATGACGTATATAAGGTATAGGGTAGGACGTACAACCATACGTTATTTTAGATTGTAGTAGCTCTGATGTGTTGTGTGTCAATGTCGATGTCAGTTGTCGGACCTCATTATTATGAAAATTTTGGTTGTCAGAAAATTGCAACGGAAACGGAGTACCAAAAATGAGTTTATTTAAAAGCCATATGGGATAGTAGTTCTCTTGTAGTATAAATCTCAACTTTTTTAGTCCCTTGTCCCTGAGCTCGATGTGTGATAAGTTGATAACCCTATTTTAGAGGGCCAAAACCAAATTTGTTTTCATCTTCGATGGATGTTGTCCTTGTTTTATATATATATATATATATATATATATATATATATATATATATATATATATATATATATATATATATATATATATATATATATATATATATATATATATATTATTGTGATATTTCAAGTCTTGGTGCGCCAAGCAATTAATTGGCTAATTAATTAATTAATCAATTAAAATTATTTAAATGATATGATTATGACTCTATCACACTTTTTAATTCTCTTATCTCAGGGTTAAATTCGTGCTTCAATATCTATGCTATTACATGTGAAAGGTAAGGTCCAAAGAATACCGGAATAATAAAAAACACATATGATATAACACTATATATTGAAATAAAAATAATGAAATAATTCACACTTAAATGTTTTCAATAAACAAAATCTCATATAATGATTCTCAAAATTTTGTTCTACGTACGTGAACCTTCAAAATTAATAGTACAAACAATATTAATTGAAATCCCAAAATCCCAAATTATTCTAACCCTCCTAATCAAAATATTTATATCCTTTCTAAATTAAGTGTAAAAATTGTGTTATCAATAAAAGAAAAAACTGCAGAAAACAAAAATATCTCTCTCTGATGATGAGTGGTCCAAATCCTTGTTCCTTGTAGAATATATTATCTACTCTCAGGCGCTTCCTAGGTAATCAGCAATCTTACAACAAATTGTTGCAAGTATATCGTCCTTAATGATCTCCTTCAAAAGCACGAATTATTTAAATTATGATGGCCTTTCTGCTCTCGATAAACTGAATCTCTCGTTGGCCAGAGTGAAAAATGACTCTTGGAATATCTTCTCTTTACGATAAACTGAATCTCTCGTTGGCCTGAACAGTGACTCTTGGAATATAAGTAGAAAAATATGACTTACAATATTTTGCTGCTTCAGCTTCTGTCAGATACACTAACTCCACAAAAACTCACTAACATTCAACACTACTGCTTGCTACCTCTCGGGAACCGCCAGAGAACAATCACTGTTCGTCTTACAGACTTGGAAAACCAACTGATTATCTTTTCTTTCTCAAAAACCTAGCTAAACTTTCATTCCTACATACCTATCCCACCTTTTTCAATCTCCGCCAATCAAAGCTCGTCACAATTCCCCATTTTTTCATTTCGATAACAAACAAATTTTTACCTATAATTATAAAATTTCCTAAAACTTATTTACTAATAATATTTTTCTACGATTCTTAAAAACTAACAAAAACCTATCTTTATAAAATATCTTCTATTGTTCTTAATCACTGTATTAATGTATTTGGAAAACCCGGTTCAATTGTCTTTGGATTTCACTTAAAATTATGCGGGTCACTCAACAAAGAAAATAATTTATGCATAGCTTACATTTTGTTTAATACAGGTAATCCAAAAATTTAAAGACTTTCCTTCTTCGAAATGTTTGTTGGGTATTATCCTACTTATCTGAATTATTTTAATGTTTTTGAACTTTGAAATATTTTAAACAAACCAAAATTTTTCTCGATTTTACATATCATAACAATATATATATATATATATATATATATATATATATATATATATATATATATATATATATATATATATATATATATATATATATATATATAATGTTTGCATGTTTTTAGTGGGTAGAGCATTAAAATGCTATGAGTGCGCTGACCACATTGGAAGTGGATCTAGCTGCGAAAGTGGGAAGAATATGGATTCTGCTTGGAAAGATACTTGCGAAAACCGCGCCAACGAGATACCAGCTTGTATAACTATTAGAGTAAATGGTAGGTAAATGTTTCTGTTGTCTTAAAAATATTAATTTTTTTGTTAAAAAAAATTTAAATATTATTTTTTATTATTGTTATGTAAATATTAATAATGAGAAGGATTAATACTCAGCCATATGCATAATGTAATTGTCGTGCTATGTTTATTTATTTCTATTAGTTCTGATATTATTTGCTTTAGTTATTTATTGTTTCAATTCTTTCATATTTATTACTTTACTTGTATCACACACACACACACACACACACACACACACACACACACACACACACACACACACACACACACACACACACACACAGACACACACACACACACACACACACACACACACACACACACACACACACACACACACACACACACACACACACACACACATATATATATATATATACAGATTGAACGAAATAAATTCGGAACATAGGAATATAATGTATTTCGGCTCAATTCTGCTGTAGGTGGTTGGCCAACAAAATATTGTCAAATATTTATATTATAAAAATCCAATACTTCAGTGGGCTGCTGGATTCTGAACTCATAAAAATTGAAAGCTACACATAAATCTACGATTTATGCTGTCAAACCAGTTATAGTCCAGGAAATGAAGCATTTCACCTCGCAATTATGTCGTGCTCCCTGGATTGACTTGAAATTTAACAGAGGGTAGGTAATAGCCTAAGGATCAAAATCTATATCGAACCAAAGTGCGCCAAAGCCTAGGGGTTGGTTGCCACCCCATCTCCGGGGTGAAATTTTTTTTTACGTTTTAACTACAGGTTTCGATTAAAAAAGTGATTCTAAACAAAAAATGTGCTATACATTTTTTTTATAAAATGATATTTTTCAAGTTATTCGCGATTGAAAGTAATAACTTTTAGACGAAAAAATCCACGTTTTTAATCGATTTTTTGCGAATAATTCGAAAATGGTGCATTTTATCAAAAAAATTGTAGAGAACAAATTTGTAGCTTTTAAAAAGACAAATACAATTCATTTTTTAAAATGTTTTTGGGATATAACAGGAACCGAAATACGGCCTATTAATGTTCAGCGGTTTTCTTCAAATGCCAAATTTGAAAGATTCAAAATCAAATATCGGGAAAATGATGCATTTTTGGAAGAAAACTCACAAAACCTTTTTTAAAGAGCATAAATAGACCTATCATAAAAAAGACTCTAGCTGAAAAATTGAGTGAGTTATGATGAAAATAAGGTCAATACCTCATTTTTTACGAAAAAATCGATGAAAACAACCCCCTAACCACCCCCATAATTAAAATCGATCTTCACCCTTCTGAAATTCCCTTTGTACATGTATTGTTAATATGTCCAAGAAGTTTGACCCATTTAAAATGCTTTGTGTTATAAAAAGTACAGCTTAAAGCGAGAAACGATTTACAATTTCATATTTTTTACCCTTCTTTTTTTAAATATGCCCGAAAATACTGAATATATAAAAAAAATACAAATTATCAAATTGTAGCTTTTTTAATGACTAAAATTATCCTTCATTTAGATTTGTTGTGCAATGAATATTTGGCAAGATATAGCCGTTTAAAGCATCGATTTACGATCAAGCACCATCTTTTTCGATCCCTTTAAACTCACCCCATTTAAAAACCAAGGGTTCCAAAAAGATTTAATTCACAGATTCTTGTAGCTCTTAAAAACCTCTACAAATCGTTTTTGAAGAAACACTCTATCGTTAAAAATTAAAGGAAATACGTTAAAAAAAACCAGTGAATTTTTTTCCGGAAAATTTTTTTAGTATAGTACAGTACATTTCGGAGCATAGTAATCTACAAAACCGGTATATTAGCTAGTGGGGCGTTATACATTCGAGATTTTAAGCGTTCTTATTTTAAAATCCCATACAACAGAATAAAACATCTGCTCATATGTCTATGGCTTGGCAATGAAAATATTAGAGCAACAGATTGGGGATGGTATTCCAAAGATGGTTTGTTATTACCCGTACGCATGAACAAACAACCTGCACTCGATGAACTTTTGAAAATTATTTTTTGGCAATGCAAAAAAGGATGCGGTGTTTCATGTGGGTGCAGAAAAGTTGGTTTATACTGTAACTCTACTTGTTCTGGGTGCTCAGGTGAAGGGTGCAATAATAGTCCACCAATAATTGAAGATGAGGATGACATAGATCACGATGAAGGTGTAATTGATGACGAATAAAATTAATATTACAATTGTTTTACCTATAAATGTAAATATTTTCAACTATTTATGTAAATGTATAAGAATATATGGTGCCTTTTTATGTTGATAATTTTTTTTGTATTTAATTCTACTTTTTTCAATTTATATCTTATAAATTAGTTTATAAAAACTGCAATGTTGTAAAGGGTGATTTTCAAAAGTTGAAAAGTTGCAAAATTTTGGCAAAAAATTGTTTTCACCTATAGCACTCATAACAATTGATTTTTAAGGGTTGAAAATGTATGAATTTGTATTTTAAAGTATAAAAAAATCACTATTTAACTAATCCAAACCAAATTTCACTCATCTTAAGATTTATAATATTATTTTACAATTTTTGAAAATTAGAAGTAGTTTTCACCCCTAAGAACAATCAGGGTTCATCGGCATGACATAAACTATAAAGCAGAGGGTGAGTTGAGCTTAATTCCAAATTTTTATGCAAATCGTTCCAAGGTGAAATCATTTTCTCGCATTACTAATTTTTTTATATTAATCTCTAATAAGGGTCGCTTTTTAAGGGTTGAAATATGATGGAACTTTATTCAAAAGCACGAAACTATCATTATTTAATTAATTCAAACCAAATTTTACCCATATTCAGGTTTAATATGTTATTTTATAATTTTTGACAATTACGGGTAGTTTTCACCCCTTAGAACAATCAGGGTTCGTCGACATGACATAAACTATAAAGCAGCGGGTGAATTGAGCTTAAATCCAAATTTTTATCCAAATCGTTTTAAGGCGAAATCATTTTTTTATAATTGGTAATTTTTTTACATTAATCTCTAACAAGGGTTGCTTTTTAAGGGTTGAAATATGATGGAACTCTATTCAAAAGTATAAAATAATCATTATTTAACTAATTCAAACCAAATCTTACCCATATTCAGGTTTAATATGTTATTTTATAATTTTTGACAATTAGGGGTAGTTTTCACCCCTAAAACCCTTCAGCGCACTTCGGTTCGATATAGATTTTGATCCTTGGGCTATCACCTACCTTTTGTTGAAATTTCAAATGGATACATGCAGGACGAAAAAATTGCGAGGTTTTAACTATTTTCGAGCTTTAGGAATTTCCTGAACTATAATCGTTTCCTTAGACAAACCCGTCTTATGCAAACAACATTGTTGTGAGACAGATAGTTGAACGATATTTTATTTAATGTCTATACCTAGGTATGGATTTATTTTTGTCCGAGTTTTATATTGGTCCACTATTTCAAATGCAGTTCAAACACACATGTATTAAATTGTATGTTCCGTTTTAATTTGGTTCAATCTGTATATATATATATATATATATATATATATATATATATATATATATATATATATATATATATATATATATATATATATATGTATATATATATATATATATATATATATATATATATATATATAGGTACATATATATATATATATATATATATATATATATATATATATATATATATATATATATATATATATATATATATATATATATATATATATATATATATATATATATATATATATACTGTGTCCGTAAAGCATGGAACAAATTCTTTGTTAGCAAAAACAGAACATTTTGAGAAATAATACTGAAACAGGACGATTTTTGATTTTAATTTACCGTATTTTAAAGAAATATTCTAATATACAGGGTGAATTACATTCGAGTAATGACGTCACCGTCATTTTTTTTTAAATGAACCCCCCCCCTCATTTTGTCTCTATTTTCAGATTACACCAGCTGAGCTGATTCCAAAAATGTAACGCGCTAGTTAAATTCACAATATTAGTCAGGAAGATAAATTCTGCTTGCTTGTATTTTGGCTAATCCAAAACACTCCTGGATTATTCCATCAATAAAATAGAAGTGCAGTTACTGAGCGAAGATGTAGGTGTTTGTCCTTACACCTTTGTCCTGATGGCTTTGTTTTGTTTCGCGCACCAGTAATAGGTCGCTGGTTTTTCCTTAGGGAAATATGTTCACTTTATATATATATATATATATATATATATATATATATATATATATATATATATATATATATATATATATATATATATATATATATATATATATATATATATATATATATATATATATATATATATATATATATATATATATATTTCTTTGAAGGACCACCCAGAAAACTGGGAAAAATGAAGATTCGAAAAGAACGTTTGAACAAATATATTTAAACAAATACAATGTAGTTTAAACGCCGATAACTTGCATATGATACACACTTGTCGGTGATACAATATTGACACGAACTTATTAATATACCGATTGGTTTAAAACACTAGTATGCCGCTGGGGCGAGTAGAGCCTGACGCTCCTTCAGTGCTGGAATTTGAACTGATACTGATTTGATGGATTTGAACTGCGAACTGATGTCCACTCTCTCCCCTCAATCACAAACATTCCGAAATCTCCCCCCTGATGCCTCGACGTATTAAAAGATATGTTTATTTTTCAAATACCTTTAATTTTCAAATCATTGATAAAAACTACCTGATAAGGGTATTTGTCTCAACTTGCGGAATTTTGGAATGCGTCAGAGGGTAATTTGGAAAATACTAATCCTTTCATTGTTACGATTCGATGAAGGTTTTAGAAAATTGTGTAGGAAGTTATTTAAATGCAAGATAACGGCGCTTTACAGATCATTAGTTAGTACAAAGAAATTTTATATATATATATATATATATATATATATATATATATATATATATATATATATATATATATATATATTGTTCTTCTTCTTCAAGTGCCCTGTCCGTTGCTAACGTTGGCTATTAACATGGCAATTTTGATCTTGTTTGCGGCGCTTCTGAATAGTTCGACTGATGTGAGCCCGAACCACTTCCGCAGATTTTGGAGCCACGAGTGTCTTCTCCTGCCTGGCCCTCGCTTACTGTCTATTTTTCCCTGGACAATCATTGTAGCAGACGGTACTTATCGCGTCTCAAATTGTGGCCTAGATATTCAAGCTTTCTTTGTTATATATTGTTATGCTATTTAAATTGTATTCTATTGCTTATTTAGAAAAAATCCTGTCTATATTTATTAAATGATCTAATCTCCAATTAATCACAATAAATCAGCATTAATTAATTACAATCTCAGGCTATTTAACTTGTACTATTTACCTTTGATCGTGGATTCAAAATATTTTCCAATTGGCTTCCTAATTGGGATAGGTAATATGACCTGAATAAAATACACAGA